GGGGGGGGGGGGGGGGGGGGGGGGGGGGGGGGGGGGGGGGGGGCAGAAGGCGGAGTGGTAGGTTAGGGGCGGGGGCGGGGGTGGCGTTGACGCCGGGGATACGCTCCTCGGATGGGAAGTTTGTTCTAGTCACAGGCTGAATAAGACGGAACAAACTATGCCGCATCTCGGGCCGACCTAGGCTGTTTGCACGTAATACCTGGCCTATATAGCGAAGGTTGATGAAGTGGGGAACATCGCTCAGCGGGGAGATCTTGAACCTCGAGTCTTTCTCGAGCAGGTATCGACACATACTGGCGGTGCCGAGGATGCACACCCGGATGTCGGTCTACGAGTGGTCGGTGATGAAATGCGCCTTCCAGGCGCCGTCGCCCAGCGTCGGTCTAGCCTCCAGCGAGGCCCGCCACTCGTCGAAAACCCGCAGGGTGTCCATGAGTTCTTCAAGTTTCGAGTCGTCGGCCGATCTGGTGTAGCCCACCATCTTGTCGAGGCNGAGCAGGTATCGACACATACTGGCGGTGCCGAGGATGCACACCCGGATGTCGGTCTACGAGTGGTCGGTGATGAAATGCGCCTTCCAGGCGCCGTCGCCCAGCGTCGGTCTAGCCTCCAGCGAGGCCCGCCACTCGTCGAAAAACCGCAGGATGTCCATGAGTTCTTCTAGTTTCGAGTCGTCGGCCGATCTGATGTAGCCCACCATCTTGTCGAGGCCGTTCTTGCGCGAGTAGTCCGACCGGCCGAAGTTCCCTGCATGTATACGCACACACACACAAACACGCACACATTTCCCAAGGGGGCAGTGGGTCTGTCGGGTGAAGAGGCGAGATATGGTGCGCACGGAGAGAACGAAATGCTCATGGGCACAAGAATATAGGAAACTAGTAGGCGGGCGACAGGCCCCTTCGCGTACTGTACCGCTGGAGACATGGGTCCTAACCTATACCCCCGGACTCTATGGTGTAGCACTTACTCGTTGTCTCGGAGCGCCGCGACTGCTCTCAACCGGAACATGGCTCGAGCTGGATGTGGCATGCGCTCGTTTCCTTGAATTCCCCGTATCTTTCCCCCGCGTTGAAGGCATCGATTCAGCCTGTCGGAAGCCATCGCAGTGGGAACGATAACGTACACCGGAACTTGGAGATAATCGATGCATGTAAATGTTCATGGATCAAGTAATAAGATCCGGTACACACAACCACCGTGAAAAATGCCGCTAGCGCCCGTCGCCGAAGCTGTAGTATAATCCCGCGGGGGCGCGGAGGGTTCCCGCTTCTCTTCGCGGCAGTAGATACAGCAGTAGTTTAGATACATTGTACTACACGGATGATGATAATAGTGATAGGCAGTGCTTTTGTAAAATCTGCATAGTAAAGCCTCAATATATAGATAATGTCTGCACTCACGGTCAGCAACAGCTCTCTCGGGCGGGGAACATCAAGGACAAGGCATACCTACCGCAAGCGACAGGGTGCCCGTCAACGTCATCTCCACATTGCTAACTGCCTCTCTCTGTCAACAGCGAGGAACTGAGAGGGAATACCGGTCCGTATCTCCAAAACCAAAAAACATTATATTTTACCACAAACCATGCACTTCTGGCGAATATATATATTTTTCTTCTTGTTTGTACCTAGTACACATCGACTGGATCAGGAGTAGCAATGTGTGACACACATGTGTATCATTTATGTCGCCATCTTCCATGATCGGCAGTGCCTCCGAGCCTAACTACCACAGCTGACATTACGGTGTATGATTGACGGTTGGAATCCGTGGTCGGCAGGGCTCACGCGTTCACGAACCGCAAAATAATACCGCCATGCACCTACATCCGTACATGCGTGTCACAGAGTCCATCTACACCTGTGACGATGCGCTCAACATGCGCGTACATGCATCTCACCTTCAGCGTTCAAGATACGGGAGACCAATAACCCTCATCATTCTGGCGCGGAGACTCGTGGTCGCACCAGAGCATCAAAGTTAATAGTAAAGGGACAGAAGGCCCTTAGTTTATTGTGCCCATCCGGGTCGTCATCGGCGTGTTCTGGCGTTGCACACGCCCCACTTTCATCCGAGGCGAAAAACATGCGCATGCAACAAATCCATCTATAGTCTATCTATAGAAATAAGTCTAAGATAGATTAGCAATGAATCAATAGCGTGAGCGAAAGGCTACCTGTATGTCTACGGTTTCCCAGACAGCATACAACGATGTCTCCCCTGTGGGTAACAAGGCTCAACAACGCAGTTTGGTAGCCATCTTGTGTATCTATCTGTATGTTATGTTGGGAAGTTGTAGACGGAAGATTTAGGGGAACTCGGTTTGTCGGGTGTTCTATTATGGCACCCTTTTATCATGTGGTTGCGGAGCAAGCGCGTCTCGGGATGTGTATATTTTCGTCTATTTATTTTTTGTGTGTGATGTATGGGGGCATGTGCGGCGCGGGAGAACATATTTACCTTGTTGTGTGACGGCAACTCGTTAAATGTGAGGAGGGCACGGGAGGACATTATCTCATCATTGCCTCCTGGCGTGGCCGCCGATAGAGGCGTGTGGTTGGGGTTTCATCACTGACATGCACATCCCCCTCCGCCTGCTCACCGGCCGGGGCCGAAATCGACCTAGTGAGTCCCTCGCGGGCGAACCAGGCCATAACAGATAGTAGGCTGGTGGTGTCCCAAGGT